GGATGGATGGATGGATGGATGGATGGATGGATGGATGGATGGATGGATGGCTGGATGGATGGATGGATGGATGGATGGATGGATGGATGGATGGATGGATGGATGGATGGATGGATGGATGGATGGATGGATGGATGGATGGATGGATGGATGGGGTGGGGGAGTGGGTAGGTGGGGTGGGAGGGTGGGTAGGTGGGGCGGGGGAGAAGGTAGGTGGGGTGGGAGGGTGGGTAGTTGGGGTGGGGGAGTGGGTAAGGTGGTTGGCGTGGGAGTGCGGCAAGTTTCTGCGTAGAGGTAAGTGCCGGACGTTTGTCCCGACCAAGCACTGAATTCCTATTAGGCTGCGGCAGTCGTCCGTAAGATCCAAGCTGCTTCAACACCTCCTGCGCTGAAGAACTTCGAGGTAAGATGTTGCCACGTCCCGTTAGGTAGTTGGGTAGTTGGTAGTCCAATAAATTAATAAGACACAGCTGCGGAATCAGTTACCAGGACGCTCATACTACCAGACAGACTTCCGAAACGCGATTGCGACAATAGCGCACGAGAAAACGAAATGTGCGCGTTTGGCACCGCTCCACTTCATATCGTAAAGCGCTGTCGCATACATCCCTAAGTAATGATTGCAGATGGCCCATAAGGCCACGCTGCGAGATGGGTGTGTAATCGCCTCGCAACGGTCCCAGATATGGCACCGGGATGTTTCGTCTGGGTGCTGCATCGATCAGCCCACCATACAGCTTTTTGATTTCCGATTTTCCTTACCGACCACTACGTCGGCAGCTGTGGTCAATGACCCTTGGATTTAGATGGATGTTCCTGCTGCGTTGCTAGCTATGTGAAGCAAAAAATTCGGCGGGCGCCGCGGGTTCGTACATGGAAACTTTGCTCTTCAAAAAGGGCAACTTGATGCGAAAGGTTAGTAAGAGATAGAATGGCATGGATCTAATTTTATGAATGGTTGCTTGCTTAGTGGCGCTGGCAACGCTGTGGCTGCTAAAAGCGAGGAGTGTGGATCGGTACACCAGGTCCAGGATTGGGGCATTTCTTAGCCTGGGATAGTGAGCCGGCGCATGTGCAATTTAATTTATGTCTTTTATGCATAATTGTATCAGCAGAGAGACCTGACAGATGTGGAAGGCGTTCACCGCCCTTGTCACGTTAGGCCACACCGATTCGAACGAAAAAGGACCTTGCCGGTTTTGGTGGGTCACAAACGTCTTGAAACCTCTTGGGCCGTCTTGTGCACGTCGTGAATTAATGGTAAGCAGTATTATTGTCATAACTTGTTAGGTAGTTATCGCTGGCAGATCCTACGTCGGCCTCGTACGCCGATATGCCGGCTGCACTGCGTACAGCGGCCATTTCCATAGTGTTTGGCTCGGCACGCTGAAGAATTCCAGTTCGGTGTATCATAACGTAATATCCACAATGCACATTGCCCATGGTGACGCATGGCCGCACAGGTTACGCGCGCCCGCACAGGCCAGCACCTCGTTATTAACCCTCGGGATTTTGCAGCAGATGTAAGCCGATTCCTGTTTCGTTTAAAAACCATTACCGAAAACGAAGGTAAAGGTTTTGAATTTTTGTCAACAACCGAGATGAACGAAATTCTTGATAGTATCCATTTCAATACATGTCAGGAGTTGGTATACAGCAGCTACCTAAACAAAAGTAAACATCGTTTTGTGAACTATTTCGGATCTTGTCCTTGGACACTAGGATGTCTCGATAATCGTCGTACGGTGCGTGTTTCTCCACGTCACTTCACCTCCTTCCAGTCCCTTAACATTTCGCGCCGCCGTGGGCGCCTACGCCATGCACCGCACCTGAAGATCGCCCTGCTGGCTCAGCTTCGGTCCACCAATACTTTCTCGTCTGCTGCTCATGTCAGCAGCGGGCATGTGTAATCTCGGGGTTGATTGGACGGTGGAAACGAGGGTCTCAAACAGTGCCAAGCCGCAACGACGTAATGAGAACCTGACAGCATCTGACCCAGAAGTGCGTTACCGTACTCTGCGGAACCCGTGGGGTATAATCGGCTAGTCGTACCACATCACACATCGTGCCTTACGGTAGAGGTGCACCAGGTCGGCCTCGTGCATTCATTTCTGACACCGCGCCGCGCTGCATGCACAGGGCGCCACGTTTCACCTGGCTCAGCATGGCTGGCAAGCGGCATTCGCGGTAGCGAGGGAGGAGGAGAGTAAGGAGAGGGAGGAGAGGGAGGTGCCTCTTCGAATTCTGTACGATAGTAATGTGTGAGAGTGGGTGCAAGTGGCACACAACTGGGGCCGTGTTAATTTTTGTAAATATCTCTGATTCGGGCTTTCTTTGTCTCTAATTTTACGTCTTCCCTCAGCAGCTATGATGGGCCGCGTTTCGTACCGTCTTAGGGAAACTCGCGGCGCATAATGAAGGGCGACTAAGTTCCCCATTCAGCGCAGCGGTATTCAGGAACATAATAATTCCCAATCTATCAGAGCTTAATACGCTTAATGTCTATCGCTGTATGTCCGCTCAACGGGCGATTGAATACACTTGGAAGTCAGCAGTTGCTATGTGTGTACTGAGTTAAGCAACTTGCTTAGAGTTGATGAGGTGTGCGGTAAAAAGTCAAATATAACGCTATCCAGATGTGCTTAAAGTCGCCAAAAGATCATAGTAAGTAGCTACCCTGCTTTGGATGTGACATCTGTCCATATAAAATGACGACTAAACTCGAAAAAATTCATGAAGCTTGTAATTAACGGTTCCCAGTCTCCTGGTGAGAAAAACAAGTGGCCTCTCATGGCAGGAAATTACATTTCTATTCCTATTCGACAACATTTGCGCATCGGAATTTTTGAAATATGCACAAATCAAACGCATCTTCCAAATTAACCCTTTTTCAGAGGACCCAAATGCATAGGCTTGGAGAGGAAGCCCTGATATATTAGGACACCTGTTGGACTCGAAGTGATGAAGCTTAGCGATATATTTATTGCAATCAAAGTGTGCAGATTTCAATTACGCATTAGTTAGTTTCCCGGGTACTTGTAGGGTCGCCCATGCGAAGAAGCGCTGTCCCGTACCGTGACTGGCATGTCAGGACAACAACTCTTGTCCAATTCATGACTTGCCGCCATTTCATATATACAATGCGTTCTCATAAGTAAAGGGGTACAGAGTGACTTGATGCGCTCTCCACGTTCATAGTTGGAGGAGATAGCTGCGACTGATAAAAGTCACACGCAAGTGCTTGTTGACATGTAACAACATAAAATTGTCTGTAGCTGGAGCAAAACGTTGACGCCGTTAAGATACACGGCCTTGGGGGCGGACAAGGCGCGTGTATAGTGGGCCGCAGGTCTTGCTTCTTCCCCTTGGTGGCTTCTACAGTGAACAAGGCCTTTGGTGGAGCTCCGTAGACTGCAGGTATAGGGGGTCGGACCTTGTTGCCGCTCTATTTCATTTTGGAAGAGCGACCAACGCAGGGACGCGGTGCTGCTGGTATGTAAGGTTTAAAGCCTTTTTATTCCATTATGAAGTCCATTATGTTGATGCATGCGCGCCTTACAGTGCACACCCCTCCCCAGGGGCTGCCTATCCCGCCCGCTGACGCCAAACGGGCAGCTGCTGATGCGTAAACCTTTTACGGAACATATTCATGTTGTCTACGTTTTCTTCGGCTTGTCGGACGTTGGTGTCCCCCTGTTTCAACTCATGCTGAGTTGCGCCATGCCCGGCAACGTACTTATTTGGCTGCCCTTGCCTGCCTTTGCTTGCGGCTCTATGCTAAGCGCGATTGAGGAGATTCGGTGTACGAACCTTGCGAATCCGTAATTTACTTTGGGCCTATCTGCATACGGTTGCCTGCCAGGCGCGGCGTGGCTGCTGGTCGCTCCCAGCGCAAAGCCATGGCGCGGACGGACGCTTCGCCAGAACGCAGCACTGGCGGGACGCCTCCGCAACAGGAGTCAACATTGAGGGCAATTGAACGCGCCATCGAACAGGCAGGGCCTCGCGACCCGGCCAAGCTGCGCATGTTATGCGAAGCCAAGGAACTCTTCCCGGTCGACCCGGTGGGCGCGCAGCGCTTATTGGACGACATCCTGAACGCAGAGGTCCTGCTTGGGATTGGACGCGGCTTCATCGGCGGGGGGGAAAGGCAGCTGCCACAGAACTCTGGCCGCGACCCTTCAGCTGAGGCCGGGCGAACCTCGTCAGGGCGAACTGTGAGCAACATCAACAGCGCCGGCGCTGCCCTCACAGACGATGCAGTGGTGGGCCCGTGCCATGGCACTGTAGCTACGGCCGGCGCCGCTGCAGACCCCGATGATCACCCCCACAATCATCACCACGATTATAACCACCATCACCATGCTCATCCATCCCCTTCCCTTCAGTACCAACACCAACACCGGCCAGGGAGCTCCCACGCCGCTGCAGCACCACGGGGCGGAGGCCAGCTGGCCGACTGGCAGGGGGTCCTATGCGATTTGCTCACGCACACCGCCAGCCGTGCCGCCGATGTGCGTCAGCTGAGGCAAAAGCTGGCTGATGCGGTGCGGCTTTCCCGGCAAAACTACCTGGCGCGCTCCACCATTATGCCACTGGAGTTGCAGAGAGTCCTGGAGAAAACCCGCGACGCGCAGGAGCTGCAGGTAGGGTTTTGCGGTGAGGTTCAGGTGGTAAGGGGAACCCCAGGCTCGGTAGAGCTACAGGGGACCCAGCAGCTCTCGCTTCCCTCGACAGGGCCGTTCTCACTGCCGCACGCATGTCCCCTCTCTTTGGTCAGACTGAGCTGCGGGGGTTAGTGCTGGAGTTTGCGCGGCCACGATACCGCAGCTGCATCACCTGCAGCGCGCGGCGGCTGGTGCGCAGCAGCCCCGAGCCTCCGCTCAACCGCTTCTGCTGCGGCCACTCGTGCTGCGTTTTCCCAGTGCGGTCATGCAAGGAGGGCGGCTGGGACGAGCGAGGTGACTGGGCAGCGCTCTTTCCTCAGCCACTGCTGGAGGCCGCGTCTGTGGCAGCAGCAGCCGCCGCCGCGGCGGCGGGCGGTGGTGGTGGACCACCCAGGAAGGTTCGCCGGCTTTCCGAGGTGCGTCTTCCTTGGTGGGGACTAATGCCATGTGGGTCGGGGTGGGACGACGCGGCATCGCCGTTTGCGTGGAGGAAGGAAGGAAGAAGGGGGAAGGGAGGAAACCCCTGGTGTGTAACGGGTGGATGTACGGTGTGGCGGGTCTTCGGTGTGTAAGGAGTTGGGTGGGCTAGGGTGTTGTGGGTTCAGCAGCGCATCCTGGGTTTAGCGGGACACACGTTTGGCAACGGGGCGGGAGTGGGCCGGTGCCGGTGCTTGAGAAGGGGCTGGTGGTTGCACACAAACGCCTGACACTGGAGTGCCTCTCCAGCGCCCGCCGCGGTGACCTCACATCCTTCCTTCGCGGCTCGTCTATATTCACTTCCACTTTCCCTTCCACTTCTCCTTTGGATTTCATTAGCTCATCTTACGCTTTTGTAATGATTTCCCCCTTCCCAGCTGGCTGAGTTCGCTGAGTCCCCGGCGCCTTCCTCCCTGGAGGGAGGTGGGGGCTCCTGGAGGCGATACGGCGGTGAGGAGGAGCGAGGGAGGGAGTGGACGGAAAACCATTACATGATTGTATTACTCACTCCAGCAATGCGTTTGGCAAAATGGCAGCCTGCGGGGAGCTGGATGGCTGGGGCGTTTTGAAGCAGGGCGGGGATTGTTTTTTCCTAGGTTGACGCGAGAGGCAGCGGAGGGGTCTGGGCTACCCCCTCCCCTTGTCAGCCGTTGCGCCTTTGGATGTCGGCAGTTGAGTCTTTGTATCCTGCATATGATTCCCCCTTCATATGCACCTTTCGTGCACCTTTCGTGGCACCTTAAAACCGCAAGTTTACGTGTGTTCTTGGGGCCCGGCAATCGAGCTGCTTAAAAGGTTGCACCCCCCTGATCAATGTATCCCCACCTGCCTCTACCCCAAGGTTCTCGTTTGCTTGTTCCCACCCGATTGTATTTCGGTTGCAACCGCTCTGCTGTTCGGCTGTGCAGCTGGTGCCGTCGCGTCCTGCAAGTTCGCGAACTTCCTCCCCTATTCCCCTGCCCTTCCGTGTCCCTCGTAACCTTCACTCCGTGACCCTCTCGCTGGGCAGGCGAGTCGCCCACACTCTACAGTGATGGTGGGAACAACGCGGTGAGTGCCATGGAGAGGGCACCTTAACGTTTTTCGGCTAGCTGAGGCCGTACATCTTGAGATCAGCTAGCTTCTCTCCAGAGTTTTAGGGGTCTTAATTCAATCCGAGGCGCGCTTGTGGCAGCCAGAGGTGGCTAGGTAATGGGCGCGAGTGCTCCCCTCTCCTACACAGGCGTGCTGCACAGGCTTCATCCCTTTCCATCTTTCCATGTCCGACCGACGTCGATCGTCTTCGGAACCTAGTGATGTATGTTCACGGAGCCATGCACGGAGCCATGCGTTTCCACTCGCCCTCTCCTTGCATAGCTTTTAGACATGCACGCACACTCACAAGGTACTCGGCTGATACCTGCGTTGCGCTGCTGGTAGCTGTGTCGCCATTCATCTCTTACTTTGTGCTTTGCAGGGCGTTGGTGCGCCTCATGCGGCGCGTGCTGTTGTGCTGGTCTCGGGGGCTAGGCGGGGTCAGGCGGCGTCCGGCTTAGTAGGCCACGGGTCCGCAATGTCAGGAGGCATGGGTACAGCATCTGGCGCTGCGGGGGCGGCGGCCGCCGGGCTTAGTCGGAAGCTCAAGCGGCGCACCGTGGAGGAGCACGTGGCAGTGATTGTGGATGATGATGAGGAGGGTGAGGAGCTGGAGGGGCCGCCGCAGAAGCGGCAGTCTCCGCAGACGGCGTTGCGGCTGGAAGCTGCGGGTAAGTGCGGTTGTCCCTGTGGATCCCGGGCAGGGATGCATATGGTAGCCACCGTGAACAGATGGGGGCACCGCCATTTGGTGCAATTGTAGGGGTGGTTGATCATTACTAGAGGTTGTTGCTTAGGAGGATAAGGGTTTGGTGGTGATGGTGGGTTGGGATATTGTTGCTGTGCATTGTGGGCAGTAAGACCCCTGAATGTACGCGCGCGCGTGCTTGTGCATGCCTCTAGGCATGTACGTACGTGCGTCCATGCGATTCGGCGAAGGGGAAGAGGTGCATTTTGCGGTGGCGTGGTATCCAGGTCTCCTGGAAATGCCTTGTCTCGCTATTCACCCATCCTGCTTCAGCTCACTAGTATTCACTACCTCCCAAGCAACCCCGCGATCTGGCACCCAAGATAAAAACATACTACTCATCGCGCCACACCTTTCCCCAGACGCGGAGTTCACAGGCACGGCCGCTACGGCGCTGGAGGGTGAGGTTGAGGGCTGCGAGGACGATCAACGCGGTAGCGGCGATGCGGAGGAGGATACATCCCTGGTGGGGCCTCCAAGCGTCAACGCATGGATTCAGGAGGCTCCCGTCTCCACCGCTACCATGGGGCCGGGGCAGCGGTCGGGACTGGCCGCTGACCCCAGCGCAAAGGCAGCGGCTCCCGACGACGACGGTGTACTGGGGTGGAGATTTCAGGGGGGGGGGGGGGGGGCTTGTGATTCGTCGTCGCTGCGCCTGCGTGTGCGTGGCGGCATGTCCCTGCTGCAGACAGCCGGGCAGAGCCAGGCTGGGGTTGGTGCGAAGGCCATTCCATTGGTTCTTGGGGCGGCGGCGGGTGAGGGAGGCCAGCGGTTACGCTTGCTGCCGGACCCGGCCGGCTTCGCATTGACTGCAGCAGTCGCCGGGGGAGGGGGGGGGGGGGGCCCGCTGGACAGAAGCCGCGGCGGGCCCGGGGTGCCGCGGCTAGCGATGCAACCCATCGCAGCCGCACATCAGCACCTGATGGCGGCGACGTCCACGCAGAAACAGCACCAAGAGCAGGTGGAGGGAGAGGGCAGTCCGTCATTCAGCCTAGGGCGTGGCGGGGGCGGGAGCAGTGCAAGGGGCTCCGGCAGAAACGGCTCTACTAATAGCGGCGGGGGCCGTGCCGCCGCGGCAGCAGCTACTCGTGGACACGAGGCCGGCGCTGCCGGCTCCTGGCTTGAGGCTGGCACGGCTTCCCCGCAGCTCCAGCCTGCATCCTTCCATCGCCACCCTCACAGCCACGGTCATTACCTCCAACACCGCCACCATCAGCAGCAGCAGCACCAGCCCCAAAGACAGCGGCCGCAGCACTCTGTGCTCGGCTTGACCAGCCTCTCGGGGGACGGGGATGCGGCCGATTCGCCCCCTCGTCGCCGAGACTCCGTAGATCTCGCGGCGACCTACCCGTTGCCTGCTAGGGGGCGCGATATGGGCAGAGGTGGCGGCGGCAACAGCGCCGTCGATGGCGGCGGGTCGTACAACAGCGGGGCCTTGCGGCAAGGGGCGGACGGCTGCGCGCTGGGAGGTGAGCTGACCAGCAAGCGTTGGGGCGAAGCTGGGTGTCCCGAGTTTGACAAGTGCAATCGAAACATCAACATCTGTTGCTATGCTGACCATGCAGTCACTGAAAGGAAGGGTGTCCCGCCGCCACCCATCATCGTTCCAACATCCGCCATCCACATCCTTCCCTCCCAGGAGTTCCGCTAGATGCTCCTCCTTTCGCCCGAATACTGAATCTCGGCGTTGCAAGGCCGCCCATAGCCGGTTCATTCCCCTGGCTTGCTAGATGACAAATAAACACTTTTCAGGTCCCATGCCTGGCCGCCGACCCCGCCATACTCCTGGGCGTTTTATCTTAACCGAACAGTTCTCTATACCTCGTGCTCCGCACTGCCGAACAAACTTCTAACCTGACAGGGAGGTCACTCCAGGGAGGTGGCGTGATTCCGGCAGTGACGGTGGTTGCGACGCAGCTGGGGACGCGTCCTCGCCGCGACGGCGGCCCCACGCCGTCGAACTCCACCGGCGGCCTCGCGCCCACCCGTTCCCATCTTACAACCGCCGCCACGTCACCTCTTCAAGCACCGCAAGCAGAGCCCGCGGTAGAGCCCCAGCAGCAGCAACCCCTGCGGTTGCTGGCCCTGCCGCCGCCACAGCAGCAGCAGACGTCGCAGGGTCTTCGGACCGTCGCCCAGTACCATCCCTACGAGCGTGTGCTACAGCCGATGCCATCGTCGAGGGGTCCGAGGCAGCCCCGGGCAGTGCAACTGCCAGACGGAGGGATTGCAGTGGATGTGGGCTTTGTGGACAGGGATGGCGGCACGACAGAGGAGATCGCCGCAGGGGCCCCGGCGGCAGTGGCTGCTCCGCAGCCAGCGGGCCTGGGCCGGTATAGGCCTGCTGCTGCAGACGCAGCGGCGGCAGCAGCAGCTGCAGCGGCAGCTGCGGTCCTTGGAATCCCTCTTGACCAGCAAGCCGAGATCATCACCCTGAAGGACGGCCGCCGCGCGGTGGTGCTGCCACCGGCGCCGACCTATGAGGTAAGTGTGCCGATGATGCAGGCCGGGTAGGTGTCGCCAACCATAACGGCGGCAGGGTGAGTTGCATTACGAAGCTTACATTCCTTAGGCGGCGACGGTATCATGCCGCCTCGGCGGCCGCTGCAGCCCCAGCCACTAAGCCTCGTTTGGGCGGTACGCACCTCGCAGGACGGTGTAGTCGATGGCGATGCACCTGGCGACGGTGGTGGCAACAGCTGTGCCGGTCTGTCCTCCGCTGCGGATCTGGCGCCTGACATGGGCGGCATCCTGTACGCAACGTCCTCTGATTTGGCGGTGACGCGGAACGGCAGCGGCAGCGGCGGCTCCCAGGTCGTGGCGCCCATGGGCTTCAGTCGTCGGCAGCCGTCGGCACCGTTCGGCATGCTGACACAGCAGCAACAGCTTGAGCTGGAGGATCACGACGGGCAGGTGGGTGGGGGGCGGCCGCCGCAGCAGCAGCAGCAGCGCAGCAGGGAGCGGGCGGCCTCAGAGCAGACCCAGCTGCTGGAAACGCAGCAGACCCAGATCACTGTCACTGGGGGAGCTGCAGTCCCACCGCCTTCTTCATCCGCACCACTGCAACCACATGACAAGCAACAGCAACAGCAACAACAAGCACGGCGGCGGGCGCAACAGCAGCAACAAACTTCCCAGCGGCAACATCAGAACCGTCAGCTGCTGCAGCAAACGCCCCCCCAGCAACACAACCAGCTGACCAACGTCGGCTCCAACTCAGTTGTACTCCGCACGTCTCTGGGTCCAGGAGGATCCGGTGGTCTACCGGCGGTACCCAGCACCACCAGTACAATCAGCACCGTGGCCCAGCTCCTAGGGTCCCCCAGCGGCACTGTGCCGTCCCCTGCGGCGGCAACAGCAGCCGGGGCCCCCGGTACCCCTGCCACCGCTACCGCCGCCGCCGCCAGCGGCGGCGGCGCCGCTAGCGGTGGCGGTACGGCCAGTGGCGGCGGTGCGGCTAGCGGTGGCGCCGCCGCGCAGCGGGTCCTACGGACACCCGACGGTCGGGTATATCTTGTGGAGCCGGTGCTGTGGCCTGAGACCAGCATGGACGGGAGCGGGGTTAGCGGCGGGATAGCTGGCACGTGTGCTGCCGCGGTGCCGGCACCGGCGACGATGGCAGCACTGCCGTCATCTGCCAACGTGACGGAGGCAGGTCTCGGCGACGTTGGGTCTGGCAGCAGGGCTGCCTTGGCGGCGGCAGTGGGTTTGGCGGCGGCCTCCAGCGGACCCATGGGCCCGCAGGGCACAGCTGCCGTAACCAGTCGCGCCGCATTGGAGCCCGCAGCGTTAAACAGGGTCCATGTCATGCCAGCAATGCCTGCGTTGCCGCCGCCCCAGCAGCTAGCGGCCAGGTCAGCGGCCCGGCGCCAAGCGCCAGCGGCATCCGACAGCACCGGTAGCGGCGCCACCAACGGCCCCGCAGCCGCCACGGTGGTGACTGCTGCCGCCAATGGCGGCCTCTCAGCCCCTAGTTCATCCATCTCCTCCGGTGTACGGCTCGGCAACGCGGTGTTGGGGATTGTGCCGAAGCCGGCTTCGGCGGGCAGCAGCGGGCCAGGCCACAGCGCAGGCAATAGTGGCTCCAGTGTCCGCCGGCTGCTGCTGCAGCCGATTGCCTTGTCTGCCAACGAGCTCGGGGTAGACGTGAGGGAGCTTCCTACCGTACAGACGGGCCCAGTGGTGGCGTTGCAATCGCCGCCTGCGCGTGCTGCTGCCGTTGTGGCGGCCGCAGCAGCAGCCGCTGCGGCGGCAGCACGCTTGAGCCTGGCATCGCACGCCGCAACCGCGGCCATTGCTGCCGCTGCGGCGGCCGCCGCTCCTGTTCCCGCATCCGGCGAGGGACCCAACCAGGAACAGCAACAGCTGCAGCCCCCCCGGACAGAGGAAGCTGGCGCTTTGGGCGCCGCTCCTATTCCTGTTCCGGTGCGTGCAGCAGCGCCGGCGCCACCGGCAGCCGCGCCCGCGCAGACGGCGCCGACGGCAGCTGCAATGGGCGAGGGCTTCCTGGAGCTTCCACAGATCAAGGAGGAGTCGGAAGCGGATGGTGTTCCCCTTGGCGCCGCCTCCCCGCATGCCCTAGCCACCGCTACCGCAGAGCCCGACTGGGCAGCAGTCCGGCACCTGTCGCCACCGCTGACGGATACTGAGCTAAAGAACGCGGCCCCGGCAGCGTGGCAGTCTTACCTGCAGGAGGTGCTGTCGCTGGGCGCCGTGCCGCTGGTTCCGGAGGGGCAGCCAGCTCCGGCGTTTGGCAACAAGCCGGCGTTCCTGTGGCACGCGCAACAGGTGCTGGAAATGGTGTGGGGAGATGAGTTCGATGCATAGTAGGCCGGCAGGGCGAGATAGAAATCGGAGTTGGGCATTTCGGTGCGTTGTCCGTAATGCCTGCACTGCTGCTCACTTTGATCCCATTCTGTCTTTCCTTCTTCCTCATCTCCAGTCCCGCCCTGTACGCCTAGCCACGCAGCACCGTACCGCACCAATATTTCATACGGCGGTTACGTGGCATTCCTCACCTTGGTGTGCCTATCCTACCTTGTACACAGGATGGCTGCCCAACGGTGGAGTGGTCGTCGCGCATCGTGCTGCGCGCCACCGGCGGAACCAATTCTAGCGGCAGCGGCGGCGGCGGTGAGTGTTCCTCCGGCTCTTCCTCTGGCTGCACCTCCACCTCCACCGCCGCGACCACCAACGTTATGGGCGCAACGCTGCACGTACCCAGTGACGTGGAGCTGCTAAGTGTGTGCGCGGATCTGCCACCGGATTTGCTGCCGTACATGCCGCCAGTGATGGCGGTTTCGGAGGTTCAATTGCGAAAGGACATTCCTGTCACAGTCATGAAGGTGAGTGCTGGAGGACGGAGAGGATGCTGCTGCTGCTGCTGCCGGAGTGCTGCTGTGCGTGTCAGTTTGTGTGTATGCAATCAAGATGTGCTGGGCGCTAAGGGGAGCTAAGGTGTGCTGGGGGCTAAGCTAAGGCTGGGCAGTCGGACGCGAATGGGATGCCAGAGGCGACATCTCCCCTTCCACCTTTCACACACTTGACCCTGCTCCCTTCCGTGTTCACGGACTGCTGGGGGTGTCTCCACTCTCCAGTCTCCATTCTCCTATCGAGAGTGGAGAGAATACTTCCTGTTGCACGCGGCTGCATGTTGGATTGCGTTGGTGTGATGGAGAAGATCAGGTCGTAGGTGTGATTTGATCATGTAACTGTACAGTAAGTGTCTTTTGACTTGAAGCTCCGCTGAACACACGTTCCCGGTTTTCTTTATCCTTCAATGCCCAAGGCGGATGTTTCAGATCATTACGTGCCGGTCAAAATGTCATCGTGGTTTGTCACGAGGCTCGACGTTTAACGGTCGTTTATATTCTGTTGTTACCTCCTTCTTCAACCTAGCGGCTGTCCAATGTTCCTATCTGTGGCCCCCCGTCTCGGCCTCCTTGTGCCCGCAGTGGCGACCGCTGATGGTTTGGCTGTCGCCCGACGCGACGCAAGAGCAGCAGGAAGCCCTCAGGCGCCTGGCGTTGATCAAGGTCGGCCTTGTCGTACACTTGGACGAACAACATGACTTTGTGATGAGCCCACAGGTGCGCGGAAAAAGGGGGGGAAATGTTTTTGGGGAGGGGAGGGGAAGCAGAACTTGGGTGGGGGGAAGAGGGAAAAGTTGCAGGGAGGCAGGGAGGTTGCTGAGCTAGAAGGAGCAGGAGGCAGTGGCAAGATGGGGGCATACGGTGCCAAGGTCGGGGTGCGGAGTGGACGGGACTTTGCTTACTTGTTTGCATGGGGATAGGAGTTTTGGGGGGCCGGAGTTTGGTTTGCCAAGGGCGCTTTTCCATTTATCTTTCACTGACAGTAGTTGAAAACTTGGTGGCGGTCTTGTTGCTGTTGTGTCGTTTTTAGTGCTATGTGCTAATCCTCTACTACCACTGCGATTATTGCTGCTACTGCTACTGCTACTACAACAAACGCCGATACTTGTGCTGCTATTGTTGCTACTGCTGCTGTCGCTGGTGCTGCAGGAGATTGAGGGCTCTCTGTTCCTGGTCAGCGTCCTCATGGAGCGAAATGCACACGCACACGGCCAGGGTCACACCCACGCCGCGCCACCCGCACGGGACGCGGGTTGCCAGAAGCAGCCGCAGCTACAGCCCCAGTACGAGTCCCAGCAGCAGCAGCAGCAGAGAAAACCACCACAGCAGCAAGCTCAGGCCAAGTCACTCGCCCAAGGCAAAATACAGACGCAAGCTCAGGCACAGGCCAAGGGTCCTGCGGGACCTGTACAGACCCAAACAACGGCAGCTGCTGACAGCGGCACGTCTGCTGCTGCAGCGGCAGCGGCTCCGCCGCGAAACCCCGCCGCAGCGACGGCAATGACTGGGGGCATGATTCCCCGGGATGGGCCCGCGGAGCCGCAGTCGTCGCAGCACAAGGTGGCGGCAGTGTGGATGAAGCAGACGGATGGCGGCGGCGGGAGGGCTGTGGATGGGGCCTCATTGGCGGGGTGTATGGGAGGGAGCCCCTCGCCATCGTCTTGAAAGGGAGGAGTAACTTGCATGTCATTCAAGTGCAAGTGCACGGGGGTCCTTGAAGGGCCGTTGGAATGGGGGGATGGGTGGTGGGGGCGAGGAAGATGTTTTACATAATGGCGACGAGGATGACGGGGGTAGTGTTTGGGATGGCGATGATGGTCGTCGGCTTAGGGTGGGGTTCTTGTATGCTGTGGTGATCGGTGGGCCGCTGTACAGCTTTTTGCCCTCCGAGAGCAAGATGGGATTCTTTGCACACTTGTATGTTAACATGTGTGTTCGTATGTACGGGGGGAGCACCCGCGCCTTATTATATTAGTGTAGTGGTAGTATCTGTGTGCGTGTGTGGCGGGCGCGCGCATTGTTCCCTTAAAATGGAGCGCCGGAAGGAGGGATGGGTGTATGTTCGTCCGTTAATTTCCTCTGATGTCCGTTAATTTCCTCTGATGTACCTGATTTCCCCGCATCCCCTGAACTTGTGAAGGCAGCCGCCCATGCAAGACGTGAAGCCTAGTGGCGGGCTGTTAAATTGCTGAGTTTTATTTAGGATTTGTATCGCACTTTGGCATGTGCGGTAATAGGCACGAATTTGTCGGGTGGGTTGGGGTGGGGCGGATATTGGGGGGAGTGTAGGGGAAATAATTACGGCGCGGCGCGGCGAGGCGGGGACACAGCAGGACAGCGGCGGGCTCCGAAATATGACAGCTCTGCCGCCACCGCGACCGTTATTGCCGTAGCCGCTGCCGCCCCAGTACTACCACCGTCACTGCTACCACTACCAACTAATTAATGCTGCTTGAAGCTGGTGGATATAAGTCTCGATTTTAAGTAAGGATGATTGGTTTAGGGTTGTCTATTCAGGCCCTCGCGTTATCATTTTTGGTTTAAACATCCTGCCGGCCTATAGTCCTGCAGAAGTAAAAAGGGGGGCGAGGCGTGCCGAAGTATGTGCCGTGTTCCGTTGCGCGCTGCTTTGTTGTATGTGTGTATGTATGTATGTATGTATATGTGCGTGTAGGAAGAAGTATGTGGGGGAAAAAGGGGGTTAGGCTGATTTAAAAATGCTATGTGTGTCACAGAATGACAGACAGGAAGACAAACAGGATATGGATTAAAGGCTCCTGTAGCGGCCGTTGTTGCCACCTACGGACGCTGGCTGCGAGGTGATGCGAGGTGCGAGATTTACATGCCTCTCGCCTGCAGCACCCCCCACGGTATTATTGCATAATGGTTATTCGCATGGGATTGTGAAACCGTGCCGCCGTCGCTGAGTGTCGTGCCGTGTGTTGTACCGGACTGAGTAACGTTGAGCCGCTCTGCGTCCCTTCCCGTGCCGCGTCTCGCTTTACGCTCATCGTTCAGCGCGTCGTGCCGCTTCACCTTGCGAGGCGTTACGTCGTCACGTGCCTGTCGCGTCGTACTGTGTTGTTGTATTGTTTTTTCACAGAGCTGGCATAAGAATTGCTGTTCTGGTTTGCTTATGCTTATGGAGGGGGGGGGAGTGGAGGAGTGGGAAGGGTTGGGTAGCGGGCGAGGGGTGAAGAGTAGAACGGATGCAATTTTTTACGATTTGTATGGATGGAATAATGAAATATTGGGTGTTTGAGGCTCTCACAGCGTTTGTCTCCCATGATGGCGGCAGACGTCAAGGCGAGCAGCTCGTGACACCCTGGGCCTCTCGCCGGCCCATGATCCAGCGGGCCCGGAATAGGGCTGCATTCCTATGGGCTATGTTTCTGGGTTTCGTAGGCCGGCTGGTAAAGCCAGCGAGCGCGCGTCTTAATTGTGGTAGCAAGAGAATAGCAAGAGAAAGAAGATGAAGAGCAGAAGTTGTGCACAGTGGTAGTAGTAGTAGTAGTAGTAGTAGTAGTAGTAGTAGTAGTAGTAGTAGTAGTAGTAGTACAAGAAAAAGTAGTAGACGTAGTAGAGTTCTCCTTTCCCCTTGCCCCGCGTTTTTTCCCTCTCGTATCTCTTAAACGGCATAGTACCGCTGTGCGAATGTATTCCTTGGTCACTGTCTCGTTCTAATCGTCCCTACCGGACGAGCCATGGTACTTTGGTTAGCTGTCAACCATCCTGTCGTACGGCAGGATGTCCAATGGAGATGTTAATCGCCGTAATCGTTTTTTGTGCGTGTTGTGGGCTGAAAAGTGGTAAGGAAAAAGCGTTTGGGATATGGTATGTAAGGCGCCATGCGTGCGCTTTGTTCCGTTACTGTTGTTGTTGTTGTCGCTTTGCTCCGCTCGCGTAACCTTAATGATATATACTTGGCTTGGATGAAGGGTTGTCAGAATACGTTCGTATCGGTTTATGACGGCACAATAGGACACGTTACATGGTACGGTCGCCGGCGGGAAGGGAAGGAGAGGGCCTGTTGGACACGACGCCGCACGGGGGGGGGGAGGGACCGGGTTTTTCCCACATGCGAGTTCCAAGCCTCTATTCATACGCGTGGACTTCATATAGCTTGCTGTCTACTAGCAGGCCGGAGGTCAAGGACAGGCCGGCGAGTGTGTGGGGGAGGGAAATCGAGGGAACCCCCATCCGCAGCTGGGCAAAGTTCCCACCCCCCACCCCCGCCCCCACTCCCGGAATACGAATGGCTCGCGAGAGCTAGCTGGAGGCGGTTGCGGCACATCAGCCGAGGCCGCTATGTCGTTCGCTCGCGGCTTGCTGTGCTGGGCCGGGCCTTGAAACTTCGCCATGTTCTCCCGGCACATAAGCATAAATGTCGCTCTTGGGGATGGCACTTTCCGATTGGTCGATGTGCTGATGGGTGGGCGAACTGTGGTGGTACAAGTCCGTGTCAGCAAGATCCACCCGCGGTGCTGTTTGATCCACGCGAAATCCCCCAAACCAGGAGCCTCGCAACCACCCCTCTGCCACCCGGTTACTGCGCCTCTGCTCGAGCGGTGGTAACCCTAAACCCCGAACCCGCATGGCATGGCCCCTACCGCCATCCTGGAGGGCTTATCCTCCAGCATTCCTACTAGCAAATGTTCTAGGTGCTGACTTCAGAGGCATGTGGTGATGGCGGTCAGGGAGGCGGTGGTGGCGTAGGCTCACGTATGGGCCGGTGGGCCGTAGGTAGCCTGGCAGCGCGAAGTGGCTGCTTGGGGACAGGGCTTGGCTGGTGTGGGACAAGGCAGGACTCCTTCACGACCTGTACACGTCCACTTACGTCCTGTGACCCGTCTTGTCCTCTCGCCTATCCTGACCTGACCTGACTACACCTGCGCTTTTATTGTGGGCTTACGTGTGGAGTTATGTTAAGCTGGCCTTACCTGGCCAGCGCCCACGTCAGTTTGAGATCACATCTCTCGCCCCGTCACTCGAGCGGTTTATGACCTCGACCGCGTTTTTGTCTTAGGTGCGGCCCAGCTAGGATATAGGGGCCTTACTAAATTTGCGTTGAGCAGTGTTTTTTCCGATGATGCAGAATCCGCAAATGGGTAAGATCTGCTGTGCTGTGCTAGGATGGAAAAAGGTAAGGATTTGTTGACTGCTTCAGCGGCGCCATGCAGCCAACCTGTGTGTCCGTGGTGTTTGGGGTCGGCCTCAGGGCGGCGAGAGGCTGCGTGTGGATGGATGCGGGCGGGCGGAGGATGTCTTGGCAGGAGCGTGCATTCACTCTACCCGGAGATGTCAGCATCAAAGAGCTCTACATGCTGCTGCCGCTGCCTCATGTTGTTGCTGCTGCTGCTGCTGCTGCTGATGATGATGATGATCATGAAAATGGTGATGGTGATGATGGCGTCTTTTGGTTGACGCGTCTGTGCTCTCGTAACGTTCTGCTTTCCCATCTGGTTTTCATTTGGCCACTTCCGCCCTCCATGGGATTTATAGTCGCGTGAATTTCTCCCAAATTAATACTTAACACCAGGAGCCGGGCCGCATGCGAAGGGGGCCCCAAAGAGATTGGAGTTTCAGTTATTGGAGCTCTTCTGGCAGCTTCCTTTGCTTTGCATGGTTCGATCGTTTGTCGCCCGGGTTTATCTGTTGGGTTCGGCAGGGTCTATACCCCATCGCCTGGGCTTGTGTTTTGACCCGTGCCATCTCAATCATTCCCAACCGCCTTTTGCGGTGGTTCGTTTCGTTCGTCCGGAACCAAGATGACGTGGGAAAAGAAGAGCCCGGCATGAAAGCGCCCCTCGCAGGGACCCCCTAACCATTCTGTGCTTTTATGAATTTTCAGTGTCTTCCGGGTCGGCAGATCCACCTTCCTTTCTCTCAAATTGCGATGATCTGGCGTTACGCGCACATTCGCGTCGTACGCTGGAGTGGGTTGTGACGTAGTAGTAAGGTATAGGATTTAACGGTATAGTATGGGATGGCGTGGGATGGTTTAGAAGTACTTGGAAATAGTTTGTAAGATTCGGGATCGCTGTTAATGCAATGTATGGTGGGGGAGCTGTCTCTTGCGTGTTTCAGGTATACTTTGCGCATACCCTTCTTCTTCTTCTTCTTGCGGCGTATTGTTTTATCGGGTTGCTTGTACGCGTATGTATGTATGTATGTATGTGTGTGCTGGTTACAGAGGGCTCCAGGTGCGTGAAGAGTATGTATGTCTGCGTATGCGTGTTAATAAAGCATCGTATGCATCGTCGGCCTGTGCCTTTCCGCGTCTTCGTGTGAGCCTAAGATGCATTGTGTGGGGAGGTAAAGACGGGGCGTCCTTGCAGATTTGGCACCTAGATCTTCTTGGGTTTGGGGCATTCAGGGGTATGGAGACAAAGAGGTGAGGGAGATAAAAGGAGAGAGCTATAAGAGGGAAGGAAAGGAGCTCTGGTTTGTGTGGGTTCGTGCGGGTGCGGGGGCCGGGGCACCAACACCTTCGTGAAAGGGAAGACTTCATGTGCGGTTCTTGGACTTGACTGATGTTTCTATCTGGTGACTGACTGGGGTTGGGAAGTCGAACCCAACGCTGAAGTCCCATTTGATGAATGCTAGTCAGCCGGCTGGTTGGGGATTTGTATGTGTGGAGAGGAAAGGGAGGGGTGAAAGGCAAG